CCGGTAGGTGCCGGAGAGTGTCCACGTTTCGGCGTGGGCGCAGCCCCAAGTGTGGGCGCTCAGAGCCGCAGCGGGAGCCCTGAATCTGGCGTTGATCATCTTCCTCTCCCCCGCACCGGCTTTGGCCAGTCAGTAGACCCTGGACTTTGAGCTGTCTCTCTCCACCAGGCCCGGGCAGCTGATGGTTTTGGCCAAGTATCCTGAGGTAGCTGGGCTCACCTCCTCCTCCCCACCTACCTCTTGTCCTCCTCCCCACACCACCACCACCCTGGCTTCCCTTCCTCATGACCGCCTGGATCCTCCTTCCTGTCAGCCTGTCAGCATTCTCCATCACTGGCCTATGGACTGTGTAAGTAAAGAGGGGGAGGGGGAAGGTAACTAGGGGACAAAATGGACCCAGCCTGAGGAGGGACGAGGCCCAGCCAGGACCCAACAGGAGCCACATGGCACACACAAAGTCCCTTGTCCTGTTGCAGGCTCCCAGGTGGTACCCAGGGTCACTCTGGCTGCCTCCAAAGCCTGGCCTAGTGCCTGGGCACACAGCCCCTTGGGACAAGCTGGCACCACTGCTGTCCAGCAGGGTGGCCCTGATGGACAGACTTTTAGCCAAGGCAACTTCCAGAGGTCCTGCAGTTTGGGGCCATGCAGTGGGCTTTAGTGTAGTGTCAAGCTGCAGGGCCAGCCCCAGCTTGAGCCCCAGCAAAGACAGTAAGGCTGATTCAGGGCAGAACCAAAGGAGAAGAGTCAGCGGGGGCAGGCTGGGTGCGTCATGGGGGCCGGGTGACAGTTGTGCTCCCGCAGGTATGCCATGGCCGTGATGAACCACCACGTGTGCCCCGTGGAGAACTGGTATGGCGCACTCTGCAGACAGCTTCACTCTAAAGTTCCCTTCATCTCTGTTTCCTCTTGGGCGGGGGCTGCCTCGAGCCAGATGGAGACACTGGGCCTCACTGCTCTTCTCTGACATTGGCAGCGCCTGCCCCTCCCCAGGCATGGCTTCGTGCCCACCTACCTGCTTCTCACCATCGTTCACCCCTTTGGCTTCTGTCTCAGGCGGGCCCTGGGAAGTGGCCTGTTCTGCCCCTGCCGAGGGAGGTCTGGGAGGGTGGTCTCCAAGCAGCCTGAGGCTACAGGCCAAGGGCCTGGGGGAACCCCTTCCCCCCTAGTCTACTCTCTGTCCTGCCTGTCAGGTCCTACAACGAATCCTGCTCTCCTGACCCCACTGAGCCAGGGGGCCCCAAGACCTGCTGCACCCTGGACGATGTCCCCCTCATCAGGTAAGGCCTAGAAACCAGGCAGGTCAGGGAGACACAAGGCCCTCAAGCAAAGGCCTGTCCCTGAGTCACAGGAATAATAATTCTCTCAAGAGCACTTAATTACAATACTACTTCCCAATTACTATGTGCCAGACGTTGTGCTGAATGCTTTACATACATAAGGTCATTTAATTCTCCCAGCATTGAGGCAGCTGTTGTTTCACCATTTTATAGGCAGGGAAACTGAGACCGAGCTATGTCGTCCATCCAGGTCACTAAGCTATAAGTAGAGGCACCTGGATTTAAGTTCAGGCTCCTCTGATTGCCCTGCCCAGGTTCTGGCTTAAGAAAAGCCAGACTAGCTGCAGGCCTCGACAGTCTCAGGGAGTCCAAGAAGTGTCGAGGTGTGCTGAGCCATCCTGGGCACTCCCTAACCCGATACACACGAGCTCTGCCTTGAGGGGGATGGGTGCGGCCAGCCTAGGGCCAAGTGTTTGTGAGGGACACTGGCCTTTCTCACACATCAGTGGCTTGCCTGCTGGGGAACAGGCGCAGATAAGGCACAGGAGAGCAGGTGGGCCAGAACGGGGGCCTTCCAGTGCTCCGGCCTCTGCCTCACTCTGTCCTCGCCCCCTCCTCTCAGCAAGTGCGGCACATACCCTCCAGAGAGCTGCCTCTTCAGCCTCATTGGCAACATGGGTGCTTTCATGGGTGAGTTGTGCTCTCAGCACCCCTCCCCCCCAGCCCAGTCCAGCCCACCGTCACACCTAGTCCCCGGAAAGGCCCAGGAAGCCCTGGCCTCGCCCAGCCCACCCCACTAAGCACCAAGGCTAGACTGGCCACTTCTCTCTTGTTCCTCGAAGGCCAAAGGCTGGCTCCCACACAGCCGCCCTGCTGCCCCAAGCCTGCGGAAGCCCAGTTCCCCGCCTGCCCTTCTGTTCCCTTCCGGCCCTCAGTGTATCTGGGGGGAAGCTGGCGGGCTAGCCCGGCTGGGTCAGGGCCAGAGGAAGGTGCCAGCCCCACCTGTGCTCTCCTCCCCCAGTGGTCCTGATCTGCCTCCTGCGCTATGGGCAGCTCCTGGAGCAGAATCGTCATTCCTGGGTTAACACCACGACGCTCATCACAGGCTGCACCAACGCCGCGGGCCTTGTGGTAGTCGGCAACTTTCAGGTGTGCCCCACCTGGCTGCCTCTTGAACTCCCCCTAACAGGGCTGAGCTGTCTGCAGGGGCCCTCCGTTTCCTGAGGGTTGACTCGTGGCAGGGGCAGCCTGTCAAGGTTGGAGTGGGGACGGGAGGGCCTGGGAGGGAAAGACGGGAGAAGAGGGGAGGACAGGTGGTGTGAAGGGGGTGGGGAGTAGGGCTGCTTCACAGATCAGCCCCGTCTGGGCCCAGGTGGATCACGCTAAGTCTCTGCACTACGTGGGAACTGGCGTGGCCTTCACCACCGGGCTGCTCTTTGTCTGCCTGCACTCTGCCCTCTCCTACCATGGGGCCACTGCCCCCCAGGACCTGGCTGTGGCCTACCTGCGGATCCTGCTGGCAGCTATCGCCTTTGTCACTCTGATCCTCAGTATCCTTCCAGGACAGGGCAGCCAGGAACAACTCCTGTAGCCCAGCCCCCTCCCACCCAAGATGAGGGGGTGGAGGGCGGTCACCCCTGCCCAGTGTGGTCTTCTGCTTCCCCTCCTGGTAGGCGAGGCCTGGTCCTCTGCCCCGGCCTAGTCATATACCTGGGGAGCAGAAAGGCTGTCCCCAGCCTCCTGCACATCCTACTGAACGTTTCCTTAGCCCCATCCCAGACGGTGTCTTCTTCATCCACGAGAGCTCCCAGCTGCAGCACGGGGCAGCCCTGTGTGAGTGGGTCTATGTCATCGACATCCTCATTTTCTGCGGTACCTTCAGCTACGAGTTCGGGGCAGTCTCCTCAGAGACACTGGTGGCTGCGCTGCAGCCTGCCCCCGGCCGGGCCTGCAAGTCCTCCGGGAGCAGCAGCGCCTCCACACACCTCAACTGTGCCCCTGAGAGCGTCGCCATGATCTGAGGTCTGGGGAGGATGGCTGGTCCGGCCTCCGCAGCTCCCCCACCCTGTCGCTCCTTTGCATTTATTTTGTACCAAAAAACAATCCTGAGAAAGTATTCTGTTGGGACGCAGGCTTCCTCACTTCTGGAGGAGTGGCCATCCCACACCCACCTGTGCCATAGAGGAGCAGGCCCTGGCACTGCCCGAGCACAGCCTGCTCCCCACACCACAGTGTTGTTTTTACGTTTAAAGGTCACGTATCCTCATTCACCCAGCCAGCCCTTCAGGTGCCTTCTACTCCCCAGTGCCAAAGCCAGACCACTGGGGTTTCCTGCTGCAGGAATTGGGGGCTGGGAACAGCAAGAGAGAGAAAGTCGGGGGGCAGGGGTAAGCACTCTTAGTCGGTGGAAAGGCCCATTTTTGGGTCCACTGAGCTGCCCTGGGATTCTTCGCTCTGCCCCCTTTCTTTAGGGCAAATAACACAGCAGAACTACATGGGTATTTTAGTATTTTTTTTATATCTATTAAAAGAATTCTAATTTGCATGTTTGTAGTCTGTTCTGGAGAGTTGGAGAGGACCTGATCCAGGACGGCGCTCTCTAGGCAAAGGATGTGAAGAAGCCCCTGCCCCGCCAGGGAGGTCCTGAGTGCCCGCTGCTGTTTCCGAGCAGGGACGCCAAGCGCTGTCCAAATCCGCCTCAAGGGCTTGAAGCCCTTTCTGGGCCTTTAAGTAGTGCAGAGCTGACCTGACCGTTTCATACCTCCTACCCTGCTCAGAGTCTGCTTCGTTTGACTCCATAGCAGGGGATATGAGGAAGGACCTGCAAGTCCCTTTTGACTTAAAATGTTAAAAGTGATTTTTTGCAACGAAATTAAAGAAAGCTCTTGGGATTCTAAGGTTGACTAAAGATTGCAGGGGGAGGGAGATGTTGACTAGTTTTTCTTTACCATCTTTAAGCAACTACTGGATGCCAGGCCCTAACACATTTTGCTTGCCAACCACAGACACGTGGGCCCAGGCCCTGGCTGGTCCAGTGGCCGGGTTCTTGCCCTCGGCTCTACTGCCCTCGGGCTTGGCAGGGAGGGATCCGCAGCCTGGTACTTTCTGCAGTTCAGGACCACCTTCCCCAAGAGCGGTCGACAGCGTGGAGGGTACAGAGCCCCTGCCCAGGCCTGTGAGCAGTGCAGCCGCTGGATGGGTAAAGAAACCTTTAATGAGATTTGAGGCACAAGAGGAAGATGCTGTGGGGGATGGATGCTCAGCCCCATCCACCTCATGTGTACATGGCTCCATGGAGGTTCTCCAGTCGGTGCTTCTGCTGCTGCTTGCGAGCCTGAAGGAAAGAGAGCGTGCTGGGCATGGGCCATACCTGAAGGCCTGTGGGTCAAGGGGTAGAGTAGCCATCGTGAGGCTGGCTTTCACTGTTTTCAGGCCCCTAACATCATTGCCAAGGCTCTGGCTCCTCAGCAAAGTCACTGGGAAGGCGGCCAGAGTCAGGGACCGTGTGGCCTACTCAGGCCTGCTGAAGTGGGGAACGAGAGCACCAAGGATAGGAACTCAGGGAGCCCCATTACCACCCCCTCCACTTACCCAGCCCCTACCTTATCTCGTCTGTGTTCCTCATAAGTGTCATCATCAGTGGGTAGCTCATGGCGGCACAGGGGGCAGGAGTTTGTCTGGGAAAAGCAGTGCAGTGTACCAGCCCTGGTCTGGTCTTCATGAGCTAATATCCGTCCCTGGCTCCCAACTCCCACCCCTACTCCCCTCCTGTCTCTGATCCTCCCAGTAGACCATACACAGAAAGAGTCTTGAGAGCTGGGCCCAGGGCAGGGGGAGGGCTGGGAGAAAGGACGCAGTCAGTACCTTGCTCAGCCAGGGCAGAATGCAGTTGGAATGGAAGAGGTGATGGCAAGGCATCTCAATGGCAGTCTCCTCCTCCTCAAATTCCAAAAGACACACGGGGCACTTGAGCTCTTTAGGAGGGAGTGCTGATCAGGAGAGCTGCTACAGGCCCTACCTCCCAGCTCCCACTCCTGAAGGATACTCCTGCCCCAACCTGGCCTGGAAAACTGAGAGGCCACACCATAGCCTGGCTCCAGATGAGGTGGGTCTGGGAGACCTGCCCCAAACAGTGGAAAGAATTAGTGTTCTCACCAGCCTGAGAGCCCCTGATGACTGTCCTGGGGAGGTTCTCAACTGCTGTCTTGGCAGCAGGTGGAGGCAAGTGGTGATCCCAGTCTACTACCAACCCCAAGTCTTCAAAGTCCATCCTGTTAAAAAGTGACCTGGGAAGAAGGATGCCAGCTCAGGACCGAAGAAGACCAAACTTTCTCTCTGCCCCCACAATCCACTAGGCTTAACTAACAGATAAATACTCTGCCCAACTAGCAATACTAATAGCTACCCCCTCGTAGTGCTCAGTAGACAAAAAGCACAGCCGGAAATGGCTTACAGCTGCTATCCAGCAACCCCAAACACGCAGGCTGTTTATACCCATTCTACACAGGAGGCAGCAGCTCAGAGGAGGAGTTACTTAGGCCACGGAGGAATGACCTAGTAAAGCCAGATTCCAAGTGACTGTGTGGCTTCCGTGCTTGGTGTTCCTAATGTACCTACTCACACCCACACGGCCTCTACCCCGCCCCCATGACCCGCCTACTCCTGTACTTCCTAGAGTCCACTGCCCTACCGCCCCGATTCCCCTTACTCTCCACCTTCAGCCTTTCCCAGAATCCCCTTGGCCGAGGCTGCTCACGGACGATCCAAATTATCGACTTCCCCCCGAATCTTACCACCGGAGTAACTTCAGATTATTCATCCGTCCTCCCCAGGATCCGCTACCCCGGATAATCCGCCTTCTCCAGCCAGCCTCAGCCCAGAAACCTGTTGCCTGGGCCCTACCTCCCAGCCCCGCGCACTCACCTTGCGAGCTCCAGCAGCATGTTAGTTCGGGCATCCTGCTGATGGTCCAACGGCTCGCAGTCGTGTTCATCGAAGTAGGACGCCATGGCAGCGGAGCAGTCTGACACAGCCCTCGGACTCCGCTGGACTGCGGCCTCG